GATGCTTTTTATGAATTATGAATTTTTTAACCTTAACCTAAAGGTGATTTTTAGGTGGTTTGACCTAAGATTTAGGTGGAAACCGCCAAAAAATCCCATGCCACATCCGAATCGCTAAAAATCAAGATTTTGCTTGACCGCCATTTTGAAGAGGACACTTTGAGAAACATTGTTGTATGGAATCACATTAAACACAAAATTCGAAAAGAAACCATCGTATTTTGTTCTACAGGCGGTTAATCAATGCGGGAGACTACATATTCAGAAAATGTGATATTCACCTTCTTTACAAGAACAATTAAATAGCAAAGAAACTGAAAATAATCATCAAAGTATTAAATACATTGTTAGAAGAACCAAAATACTGGAAGCCCTGCTAAAAAACTTGTCCTTTTGCTTAGGGTAGATTTTGTTAACTCTGCCAAACACCAAAACAATATTTTTCAAAGAAAACAAAAATACATCCCGATTTGGTACTAGTTATCATAAAGAAAATTGGAGGTCAAGTTCTGGAGTTGCAAAATCTGTCTCGTCTGGAAGCAATATGACGTTCTTCTGGAGAAACCTTGGGTTTCTTGAGGAAAAAAGATGCAGTTCTAGTGGAGAGGCATCAGTTTTGTCTGGAAACAACATTAAGTTCTCATGGCGAAACGTCATGCTCTTCACGAAAAACATCAGGTTCTCGTGCGGAAAGATCGGTTTCTTCAGGAGGATCATTTACTTCTCGTGGAGAAACCTCGGGGTCTTCAGGATTAAACATGACGTTGTCGTGGGGAAACGTCGATTTCTTCTGGAAGAAACAGGAAGTTCCTTTGGGGAAACGTTCGGTATGTTCCGAAAAAGACAAGAAGTTCTTGTGGAGAAATATTGGTTCTTCGGGAAAAAAGAAGAAAGTTTCGTTAAATTATTATGTCTTTGGATTTTAGTTTTGTTTGAAATATATTCACCATTACAATAATTCATAATGCGTAAAATCTTAGATCAATAAGTTAAATTCTCTTTCTTCCTTTCATGTCAGAACTGATACCTCCCAAAAAGTTTTTATTTGAGGCAGTTTGCCTCAACCATACTAAGGTACAGACGTTACTGGATCTACAGATAAATGTTTTCAAACATCTTGAGCTTTTAAAAGTGTCTCAGTTCATCCTGATCTTTCTTATCCTGGTTGGTTCAATCTTTTGCGGTTTCATGCGATAAGATGCGCGTTATTATTAAGATACAATGAATCATCTAACATTTAATTTGAACTCTCTCCTTCACGCGATGATATTACTTCAAATATAAGTTATGAAAATGCTGTTTACTACATGCAATATCTGCGCTCGAAAACCAGGTTTAGAATCGTGACATCTACCGACATCATACTGAACTGTAAAGCGATTGCATGAATCGTATTCAACGAACAATCAAAAAGGAAAGAAAAATCTTATCCACAAGTCGAAAATCTTGAGATCATTTCTGACGGAATCTTGATTTCAGTACTTTCTTCCTGAGAAAGCCATTTCTTTCGGATTTTCAGTCAGAGTCTGATGGTGTGTAGTCATACGACCATGGCTCGTACAATCAAAAGCCAGTTGGGTATTCACCAATACATTTGAAATTAAAAAAGAGACTCATTTTTGCGGGACTTTTTCTAGTACATATTATAGCTGATATCAAGACTTTTTAGAATGTATATTCAGAGTTCTCTAGCCAGAAGCCGTTACTGAGATATCAGTGTTTTTCAAACAATCTCCTGATTCAGACCAGAATGGACTGATCTTGATTTCTTACCAAGAATCAGTGATCATGAATCTTGAAAAATTTTCCAGATCAGGTCATTCTAATCTGAATCTTATTATTGATTGTATAGGGTCAGAATCTGATAAGATTGACCTGAAATCAAGATTCTGTCAGAAATGATCTCAAGATTGTCGACTTGTGGTGGATCGACGGCGGCCATTTTTGGCAGGTACTATTGGCAGGTAACTTCTTACCACGCATGTAAGTGTCGTGGCGGGCGTCGTCGCCGCTCTGAGGGCGTGTGTGTCAGCGCAGTGCGAAAATCTTTGCTGCCGAGTTCCAGCGGTATGACTGAGTGGTGGTACCAAGGGCTTCAGTAGGTGTGAGACGGTGGTACGACACCAAGTAAATCAAGTAGGGCTCCAGTGGTATGGCACCGGTAGGTACGACACCAGTTGGTACATACAGGCTGACTCGGCATACAGCAGAATAGTTTGTTTAACAGCAGGAATGGCAGACTTAGCTTGTGCAGCTGCGCTTTTGTTAATTTCTGGCATTAAGCAAGAATCTATGGATATTGTTTATTTTTTTCTCTTTTATCGTCATATCATAATGGGTCGAAGAAAGAAGATAAATATTTCATTTCCAACTAGCATACGCTCTTGTTCAATAGCTGATGCAGATAGGTTCAATTGTTAAAACGTCAAATCAATACAGAAAATTACATTGATCACTTTTTTTATGGTAATAAATCTAAACAAGAATAAATTGACTTAATATAAATTTATCATTTGGTTTCTAAAAAGCGAGATAAATCTGTCTATTTTTCGTATCTCTTTTGATTAAACAAGATAAAATCTTGAAAACTATCCCTTATAGATAGAAATAAATTGCAATTTTTTTCTTCTTCACAACTAACCCCAAACATCTCTAGCAATCGTCATCATTACTGTTCTTTTTTTTTATTTAGATTCATCTATGTCGTCAGCAGAACAGACTAATATGAGTCGTATTATCAAACAATTAGTGGATCGTTTGAATTATTTGTCAATCTTGAAAAACGAAAGAGACTTTGGGTATTCTAATGCTTCAATTTTATACGACACAGTGTATGACTTTGGACGCCATACACATCTTCAACCTGATTATCGAAAATTGTTAACAAATGAAGATGAAAAAATTTTAAAAGAATTCTTCCCGATTGGCTTTACCAAACTCGTTGGTTATACTCCTGGCCTAGTAAATAATATTGATCCATCAGATTTGAATATTGCTAGAAGAAAACTATCACAGATATGGTTTCTTAAAAATGAATTTCTCAATTTCTACAAAGAAGTAAGCGGGTGTGGGTTGACACAAGAAATCAAGGATGCACTGAAGAAGCTGGAAGAGTCGAACAATGCGCTCGAATTCGATATTTCGAACTGGACACGACCAGACTACGATGAAGCTGTGGACAGGCTATCAGATGTTCCAAACTTGAACGGTGTACCAGAAAGTCATGATTGGTGGACTGAACAACATCGTCAAATGTGGAAAAACAAAAAAGAATGAAGTTATATTTTGTTAATAAATGTCATTTGTTTTCTTATTTTTAATTTCTATGTTTAATCAAAGTTAATTGAAATCTGCTTCATTACACTGATAGTTAGACTGTGATGAATGATTCTCAGGATCACCGAGATGTCTCAAAGAAGTTCTAATTCTTTTAAAACTCCTTCGCGTAATGTTTCAGCTTGCCGTGGAAATTTGGAATGAAGATATTTCAAGTATCCAGTAAGAGCTTCATAAAAGAAGGCTTGATCAACTTCTTCATACATTTGATCTGCCATGCCAACAAAAGCCCGGTAATCCGATTGACAAAGAAAAACTGATCCATTAAATTGTCGCATGCGCAATTTTGCTTGTCCAGTTTTGGTTTTGAATTGAACATGAACACGGTTTTCATCATCGGTTATTTCAAGAAAAATGCCTGCACTGTAAAGTTTAGATTTTGTCAAAAACTCATCGATGGCAGTAGCGATCAGTGTTGCGCATGATAGAGGAAGTGGATAGCCATATTTGATTGCCATTCTAACTATGCCTATGTTTGATCGAACATCACCACTATTAATTGCCTTGCTAATAATCGAATGTAATTCAGTCATCAAAAATTGAGCTTTTCGTTTTGATTTATTATTAGATTTGTATTCAACAAGAGCTTGTTTAAGACTCTTGTCCTCTTGATTAAAACTAAATTGTGCTTCAGATGGAAGTGCATTGGCATCGCGTAAACTAGCAATATAACTAAGAATGATTGAAATCGTTTGCTCGATGAAAACAGAATCGATCGTTTTCTGTGTGAATTTCATTGTTACGGCTTTGAAAACATCTTTCCAATTTTCACATTCAACAAAGTCAATGAGGATATCATTTATCGTTGTATTTTCATCCGATTCATAACCTTCATCATCAATTCGTTTTTGAAAATCTTCTAAAATTTGATCGATGCCATCTTCAATAAAGAATTGAAGTTCTCTTGGTAGCCCTTTAACTAACTCAAAAATCACATTTTTCAATGGAACATTCTTTTTAATAGAAGTTTGAATTGTTTTGAAATATAATATTTGCGTTTTCCATGCATAGAAATTTAATAAATTGCTGATTTCACTTTCAAGATTCTTTAATGCAAAACTGCTTTTCAAAGAAGATTTTATAAATTCAATAGTATATTTATCTTTTGATAATGATCCAAGTTTTTGATTAACTATTGATTCGAATGATTTGATTAAAGGAGTTCGCCAAGATTGGATGTTTTTACGGATCATCTAAATAAAATCAGTTCATTTTATAAAAATAATGCTGTCGAAATAACTCACTTCATTTGTATTACGATCATCATCACTCTTTTTAGCTTCTTGTTGTGAAATATCATGAAATGTTTTCAAAATTATATGTTCATCAACTAATCCTCCTTGTTCAATCACAATTCGTCTTGATATTGTCCGACATTGATTGTAATATTGATAACTTTCTGAAACAGCTGTACAAAAGTTACTCACTTTTGTGTATATGTATACTGCCATTTCAGCTGCAGATTTCCAGATCGTTGTAGATGCGGCCCATGATCTAAAGTCTTTTGCTAATCCAATAGTTCCTTTGACAATTCTTGTATCACCCACCCAATTGGTAAGTTCTGTAGCTTTTTTCCCAACATAATTCACCGCTTGAGTTCCTTTATTAATTACCCATTCTGCTCCTTCGACAAGTTTATATCCACCTTCAACAGCAATTTCTTTCGCAAATTGCATAGTTGCAACTGCTGCTTTTCCAAGTTTTGTATTCAAAAGTGGTTGTGCTATTCTCTGAATCAGTTCACCTGCTTGTTTCACATACGGGGCTGCAAAATCAGATATTGCACTAAATATTTTTCCTAGAACGAATTTCTGTGTTAGATTAGTTGTTTCAACTTAGTAAAAGTTTTACCTGGTAAATGAATGACAAATTTAACTATTGAATAGCAAAATGAACCAACTGCACTTGCAGCTGATTTCACTTTATCCCAACACCAAGCGGCACCGCCTATAACTTTATTCAATAACCACGATCCAGCTTTTTCTTTCTTTCGAGTAACAACAACTTTTAATCCGTTGTTGATAATATTTCGTAAATCTGAATCAATAAGAAAACCTTGATCAAGAACATAAGTTGAAAACGGAATCAAATCCATATGATAATCAGTTTGATCGTGTAATTTTAATCGATTCGAATAGACAACTGATTTGATCGTTTCTTCATTTTGAAAATCTTCATAATCAAAATCATCGATAGTTTTGGTAGTAGTACAAAGCCTTGATGGCATTGCAAGACCACAATTGACAAAATCATTGAAAACTTCACCGAATGGATTTTCAGGTAGAAATATTCGAGTTGGACTTGGTGAAGGATGCTCATTGGCTTCTTCTAATGATAAACAAATGTCTTCAAGAGCAAACGTATATGCAAACCGATCAGCTAAGAATTCATCGACATGAGCAGCAATACAAGGAGGAAATGATGAACAATCTAATTTTGAATTCAATCGCCAAATATTATAGAAGTAAGGTTCTAAAATCTTTTTTTCGGTTAGATAAATATTGAATTTTTTAATAGTTTCTTCTCTGTTAAGTTCTGATGGAATTTTACAGTAGCGGTCCAACACTTCTTCTGTAACATTCAGCAGTTTTCTGTTGTCCTTAATTTGTTGAAGAATTCCAGCATTATTGTAGAGTAATTTCCATTCGATCGGATCTTTTTCTTCAGGTTTTTTCGCATTCTCTTCTAAATGAGCTCTTACGCATTCCTTCCATATTTTATCATTGGAAGTTAATCTTGTCATGCTCACTGTTTGAAGTTGTAAAACTCCATTTTCTTGTAAGATGTTCATAATCCAACCCGCACCATGGTTTTCAAGATGAAAAAATTCTTTCAAATCTTGTGTTGTTACACCATCAAAATCTGAGAAATATGACATACGTTCAGGTATAATTAAAATATTCGCTAATTTATCTAATTTCAAAGTTCCTTTGTCTACAAGTTGATAAATTTCGTTTTTTAACTTTTCATCATTTCCTACTGCTTTTTCAACATCACTTAATTTGTACATTGCACCCATGTTAATTTCACTCGAATATCGTAATAGAGTCTTCGCTTTATCTGCATTAGTGACCGAGTGCGGTTTAAATTGCCTCAGTTTTTCAAGAACTTCTTCACTTAACGAGGATTGATCATGAACAACCAAATACATATCTGTATTGTAGAGAGCGTTTTGTTGTTCTAATTCTACCCAAAATTCACTCTTTGTTGATAAAGGACATTTGTCAAGGAGCAAAGCTCGATCAAGAACAGTATGGTCTTCAAATACCTGCGACGTTGGATCTTTTGACATTCGATCAATCAAAGTCTTAAAAGAGAAACAACTTTTTCAATTTGGTAGATTCATAGAAAATTGTTCATTTACTTCGATTTGATTTCTCTGTAATTTGTATTTCCGACGAATCGGTTCAATCTGCCAGTTTTCTACTGGTCGACCTGTAAGTATTGCTGGACTGATCAAACCTTGTCGATAGAATGCATCGTAGATTTCTTTTGAATACGCTTCACTGATACCACCTTGTACAAACATACTCGAATGACAAGGTGCACCAACAAGATAATCGATGTTTATCAATATCAGTTGAATATAAGTAGTGATCGATTTTATTTGTGATGCAAAACCGGATGTTTTCGGATTCTTTTCTGGAAATTTTTCAATCATTTGAGCAACGATTGAAGCTTCCTTTTGTTTTCGTTGTAAACGATGAAGAAATAAAGTTCTTGCTTTATAAAAATATTCAATGGCTTCTTCAATGTTTTCGTTGAACGATTGTTCCTTGTTCAATTTCAATAATTTCAATTGCGTTCGAGTTCCATTGAAGTTTCTCATTCTCATACATGCTTTGTAGTAAAAGGCTTCACCACTAAATTCATGTCCATCGGCAAGAATCTTATTGAAAGTATCTTCTGCTTCTTGAAATCCATTCTTGTGAAACATTTGAATGATACCAATAGTTAATAATGATTGTGGAGCATCGATCCAATTTTTCGCAAATTCAAAACAATTCGATTGATCACCAAATGGATGTTTCTTTAAAAATTCGTCGACAGATTTGATTAGAGTTTCTCTCAACTTTTCACTATGTTCATTTGCACATTGTTTTATTAGCGGAGCTTTACTATCAAGCCAAAGTGCCCACTGATCAAGAAGAGCAAAATAAACGACTTGTGATGGTGTTGAAAGAGATTCATCATCGATCGTAGAGCTATTTGAATAAATAACACTAAGAGCTTTATCACAATAACTTCGGAATTTCTCTAAACATGATTCTTCGATTTCAGTATGATAATCGTAGAAACTTTTCAATGATTGTAAACGATGAACTTCAGCATTATCACGAAACATTTTTAATTGAAAAACAGATGGTTGAATAGTATTATCTGCTGGTTCAGTAAATGCGATAATTTGAGCAGAACCTGGTTGACCACATCTAAAAAAGGATCCATAAGATTATTATAGAGTAAAAAATGATGACAAACCTCGCAGCACGACCATAAGCTTGTTCTTCAATTCGACAATTTTTCGGAATAAAAGCCGTTATCACATGTAAACCACCAGCATCAATAAGAGATTGACTTAGTTTGATGTCTGTACCTCTACCAGCAAGATTGGTGGCAATAATTAATCGATGTGGTTCGAGTTTATGGTCGTCTTCAAAATTAAATTCATCATGTTCACGTTTATAAAGGGTAATAGTTGTAAAACATTCTTTGATCTTTTTACTTATACTTTGATCTGTCTTAAAGCATTTAATCAATCCATCATAAACATAATCAAGTTGTTTGATATCTTCACAAATAAGAAGTACAGATCGTGTTCCACTAACTTGATCACAAATTTCATCGTAAATGTTGGAAATCCATTCTTCTTCTACTGTTGCAATGACAGGAACATGTTCATAGAAAACTTTTGCTTTATTTGTTGGAATCTTGATCAAATCGGCTTTGTAAAGTTCAATCAATGTTTTACTTTCTTCTGTTGAACCCAATGTTCCACTAAGACCATTGATATGTTTATATCCTTTGAGATAAGCAACATTTGAAATAAAAACAGCTTTTAAACTCATTGGTGAAAGACGACAACCATGTTTAAGTTGAAGAAATTGATGAAGACCACCACACCATTGAGAAGTTGCTAGATCTGCTCCGGTATTCGAATCGATGATTGTTATCAATGGTTCTAAGGCAGATGTCATTTTCCCAGTATGATCAACGTCAACGACATATTCAGTATTGACTTCTAAGGACAGCGCATGTTTGCAATTTTCAATTAATTCATCGAGATGTAATTTTACAAAATTTCGAAGATAGACCGGTACTTCGATAGATCTTTCACGAGAAATAATAACGGAAAAGCAAGCTTTAATTCGACAAACGAAAGCAGCATCTGTCTGTTCCAGCACCTCGTCAATTAATTGCAGTTGATCATGATGATGTATTTTCAAATAGCCATCAGTATCGATGATTTTCCCTTGAATCAGTTTTTCATACATAGCAACTACCTTTACTTCAGGAATACTTGAATTGACAATCGATTTTAGATCATCCTTTAAAAATTGGCCAAAAATATCAGCCAATACTTTCTTTTTAATCGTTGTATTATCGAATTGATCTTGCATTTGTTCAAGATTATTTTTATCATCTGTGTAAATCGGACTATGAATTTGTTGTTGAATAAATATCAGTAAAGAATCAAGTAAATCCATTCCAGGAACACTATGTGAAAGATAGAGCATATTGTTACCATTATCCAAAAGCATATTATCAACTTCATCGACGATAACAGCAACTTGAGTTCGATCACCTTTCAATGGTTTTTTATAAAATGTATGAAGAAGATGATCACGTTGAAAACGAGCAATATCACCATAAACAATATCAGCAGCATAAGCTTTTTTACGTGCTTCAAGATCTTCACTACAATTATCAGCAACACTTAAACCGAGTTCTTGATAAAGCTCAGTCATTTCAGCAGCATCACGTTGTGCAAGAACAGGTGAACTTGTGATTATGTCTACATAACGTTTTCCAGTTTTACGACGAATCGTTGCGATTGCTGCAATAATAAAAGATTTACCTTCACCAGTATTGACTTGTTCAATAACATGTGTTTCACTTTCAACAGCACAAAGTACGGCCATTTTCTGTGTATCTCGTAGACGTTTCTTCTTTAATTTGAATAATGCTTTATCGAATGTGTTCAGCCAATAAATACTCTGTGATGTTTCACTATTATTTGATTGAAGAAGTTTACCAATCTTTCGAATACTTTTTCTTCTTTGTTCAGCAGCCTCTGCAGAATCATGTAAACCTGTTATCTTCTCAGTCAACTCATCAACATTCCGATCATCCATCGAAGCCAACTCTCCATAATTGACATAGTTTTTTGATATTTTCCCAGTTGTCAACCAATTGATCAATTTTGCTTGTTCGATTTCCGTGGTAATCAGCTGATGTTTTGTAATTCTGTCTTTTAATTCTGGATAGTCATTCGCTTTGATAAAAAGCTTTTTTAACCCTTTGGCTCCCGGTGACGTATAAATACGTCTAGTTGCAATTATTGCATGATCATAATAGCTAGAATAAATTTGAAAAAAGATTTGAATAGCTGAAAGAATTTCCGATCTCAGGTGGTGTA